TGCATTTATTAACACCAAATGGAAGTCATTTGAGAGGTTTTGATGGAGGATGGAGGATCCATTTGTGGTAGTCAAACGGAGGTTTAATGGAAGTATTTTTCAAAGGATTTTTGGTACGATTTTCCACGTGTTTTTCTATGTTTCGCAATTTTTATATCAAGATTTGTAGCTGTATTAGTGGACTTAATTAAAGTACACTAACACTATTGAAAAATTTACAACTTAATTTAATTAAGTCGCAACCACAGCAATTTCTAAGTCTCGATCACACGCGTGAGAAACATAAGAAATTATTAAAAATTTTCATACAAATTAAACGACCCCATATAATAGTGATTTCTGCATGCGCTTGTGAAGTATGTAATTTCATACAAAATCACAAAAAATTATCCTTTTTTGCTTTTTTAAAGCTTGAAATGAAGCAATATGATTCAGTAAAGCTTTTCGACAATATTTCAATCCATTACAGTAAGATCTGACCTCTGTCTTTTAAAAATTCAAAAGCACGAGTTTTTCGGTATTTGATTTAAGAAAAAGTGGAGTTCATATGGAATCCAAATGGAATCAATATGAAGGATGAAAAAATAACCCTCCATTTACTTCCCACATAGTGGAGGTGGCTTTCATATGGATTCCATATGGAGACCACCCTCCACCTTGTGCCGCTCGGGAATATGATTGTAATCACATCGGATTTGTCCAATTGAATAGTTTGATGACTATTTTTATGTCGCCTTGTTGGATAATAAAAAAATTTTTGCACATCATTGAGAAATCATCATCAGATCATAATAATAATAACAACGAAAAAATCTGTTGATATTTTTCAATTTCGACTTTCTTTACGTACAACTTTATCAATTACTTCCACAACATAAAATAGGAATTGGATGGATAATAGAATTTTTATGATAATTACTAGCGGGTTTTGAGTTTAAGATATTGAATTTGGATAGAGTGGAGAACCTAATGGAAGTTGAGAGTTAATTTCTTAGGGATTTGTTGCGACTTAATCTGAGGCTTCTTTCTCTGAATTCCCTAAAGGTATCAACCAGAATCTTGTTTTTCGGGTATATTCAATTCATATTCACTAGTTTGACTAGAGAATAGGTTCTAGTGGTTTGACTTTTGCTAAAGACTACACTAAGACCAACTCTTAACTAGACACAACTCCATTCCAACATCTGCATCACGGAAAACTTTTCCACAATTCAATGTTATGCCTCATATAAATCTTACAATGGAAATTATAAATCACATTCAAAAGGAGAGAAATAAAATAAAAAAAAATTATAATGTTCGCGCAATAGCGCAAAAGATAAGATTTATTGCATTTTGCATACTGCAGTGTTTATGCATTTTATTGCATTTTAGTAATTACATTACGATAGCAATGACAGTTTACATTTTCAAACAATTTATTATTGTATAGTTTTGTCTACTGAGCTTTTTTCACTCGTTTTTGCTCAATAAATTCAAATATTTGAATTCCAAAAGAGATGTAATTTGTTGTCATTTATTGTAGACATTTCTCAAGGAAATCGTATGGCTTGTGTATGTAAATTTTCATTTGACATGAGGAATTGTGATGCAGAGGGAGACATTTGGTTCTATTTTTAGATGCAATTTTGTTGGTAAATTCCAATTAATTTCAATTTAGAGCCCGCTCAAAATATTCTAATAGTTCCATGCAAAAGCTGATCACTTTTCACCTCAAGACATCTGTCAGTAAAGCCAAAAAATACCAAAGCAATTTACAACATTTAAATTGTCGTAAATATTCACATTACAACAAATTATCGTCACAGTTTAGACATCAGGATCCGAAAATAAACAAAAAGCTCATAGATATCCGAAAGGGATTTAAATCAATGCTTTGTAAGAGTGATGATGATGCTGGCTCCTCAACCTTGGTGTTATTTTACAATTAAATGGCTTTAATATTTAAGCCACCCATATTAAGTGTCTTTAATGGTATTAATTATTAATTTTATGTATGAAAAATATATTTTTGTGAGAGGAGGAAGATCGATAAAAAGAATAAAGTCGAAATGGCACCAAAGTTTATGATGAGAAAAAATTCAGCTGTAAAGAATTATAAAGTATTTAAGAAATCATTAATATTGATGACTAAATTAAGAAATTCTTGTCTTCTCCATCGTTTTTTGGGGAGCCAAGAGAAAATATGCAGAACAACAAATTAGACAAATTTAATGACACAACAGAAATTCCTCTTTGTCTACATATACATTTTTGTCTCTTTTCTTAAAATTAATTTCTTTCTCAAGAAAATTTCCGTCGTTAAATTTTTTTATGTGCATTTTTTTGAGAAGAAAGTGTTTGTTTATGTTTATACTTTGTGATATTGGCTTAATATCAAGATGATTGGATGACTTTGTGTCTAGTGTTGTTGCTCATTAGTTTATATGAGATATAATTGAGAGAATTACAATCAATTATTAACTTTATTTGCAATTCTGTTCAGTGAAAAAACGATTGCTGGCTTTCCAGTTTTTAACCTCAACCTGAGGACATATTTGTGTTTTACATGCTCCAGCTAATCATTGCCACTTTTTTAATCGACAAAAAATATAGAAAGAAGCAAGAAATTCTACTTTAAACATATTTATTTCAATAAAACTTTTCGAAGTGAGCACATAACCGACTTTGGATCATAAATCAATTTCAAATTCCACTCAAACCCGAAAAAATTCGTTACAGTAAATTTAACTCATGCGCTCTGAACCATTTTTCATTTAAAAATTTTCATCTCAGGCAATTTAGTATGTGATTATAAATTAATTAATTTCTTACTAATTGCCTGACATTTTTACGTGTGAAAGAATGAAAATTTTTTCTTTCATGTTGTATGACAAAGAAAGAAATTTATCTTTCTTTCTTCTCCTTTTTTCGCTCGCTTTGCTTATTTCTCATTTTCCACATTTATTCGAAAACCGTTATTTAATTCAGTCTGAGAGGAAATATGAGAAAAAATATTATAAATTATTTTAAACAAATTTTCCTTTTGGATATTTTTATATGCTGAATTTTTTACAAACAGTCAGTTGAAGAATGATAATTTATTAGTTCAACTGTTCAACAGTAGCAATTTCAATAGTAACTTCACATAGAGAGAAATAAAATAAAATATTTTCAAGTTAAAAGGCTAAGTTGAGGTTTGTGAACAGAAACTTGTACAACGGTTTCTTTAAATTTAAATTTTGAAATCAGGAAATTATTGCTCACCTTAAAAAGTATTTTGTTAATTAAACTATTAATTAACATCAATAAGTTCAATAATTAGCTGAAAAAGTTAATATAAGGTGGCAAAACTTGAAAGCAAACCTTTAAATAGCTTCATAGTTTGAATTATTGGGCAAATTCTGAATCAAAAATGTCCACGTGGTCAAAAATCTCTCTAATATCTTAGTCAAATCATCCAAAGCGAAGAAAAAACAAACTTTGTGGCTAATAAAAATCAACTTAAATGTGCAATAAAGAAAAAAATGAAGTGAATACAAAAAAAAAATTAATTTTCAACATGAATAATTAATGCAATAAATTACCGATTACTAATTATTTTAAATGTTTTTCTTTCTTTAACGACGACAAGCTACGACGATCATTATTATGTGAAGTGACAAGCATTTAACACTTGTATGGAATGTCATAGCGTTGAAAGTCGAACACTTCTGATGATGATGTTGTTGGAAACATAAAAAAGGCAAAAAATAACAAATAGAAGATTTATGAAGATATTCATGTTCATTTTTATGTTTATTTTCGGATAAATGTGTACTCCATCTCTCATTTTCACCAAGAGAATATTATTCATGCATAGTTATATGAAAAAATAAGATTTTTTTTATATATATTCTACTGCTGTCCCGTAAGAAAATTAATAATTCATTGCTCTTGTGAAAAATAATCTCACAGTTGTTAACGGAAGATGAGTGCAGCGCATTTTCCTTTTATTTCTCCTACACTCTCTTTTCTTTTGTAGCTTATGTTCTTTTGATGATGGTTATCTACTTGTAGTAAACTATATAACACGGCTATATTGTTGTTATATGTTGTCTTATGCGCTATAAATCCTTTTATTATCCTCTACTACACTTTTAACAGCAATAGTCTTTTCTCATATAATAAAAGATATATTTATATATTTATATTTATTTTTATATAAATATATGTTTGTACGGTGCACAGAAATAATATTTAAGGTGGCACTTAGCTTTATTTTATACTTCTTTAGCTAGTGCTGCACAATGCTGCATGAATGTTGTCGGTTCATTATGTTTTCCACTAGAATTGAGGCTCTTCAAGCAATGATAGATTTATAAAAAGGTTTTAAAATTTAACGGATTTTTAATATTTGAATTCTTTTGTAGGCAAAATTTTCTCACTTCGAAAAGTTTTTCTCATTTTTAAAGTAATTAAACCATAAAGTCATACTTAAATTTGACCTGCTTCCACGTAGAAAAGTGGCAAGAGTCCAATGAAAGAGGATTTATCTCAACCTATTTAATAGAAAACTCAAATGATTTAGATAACCTCAAAAAAATTTCAAAATATAGCCCCAAAAAAATCCATAAAAACTATATAAACACCAAAAACGAGCATGAAACTCGGGGAGACAGCAAAAGTATCAGCAGTAGTATTATAATAAGAAGTAGATAAAATGAATAAGAAGAAGAAAATAGAGGAAAATTTATGTTCATGTTTTAGATGTGTGCATGGTCATGGATTATGATTATAAAGAGTCACTGAGTGTCTGAGGAGAGGATGTGTATTATATTTTATCTTAGAAAGAACTGTGCTCGTAAAAATTTTCTTTATTATCATGGAAATTAATTTAATTCATTAATGCTGCTTTATGAGATTTTTTAAAGGTTTTTTTTTTCGAAATCTTGTTGAAGTTTTGGATTGCTCGACAATGAAAATTGTCATAAATACTAAAAATTCAGCTAATAAATCATTGTTCTTCTTTCTATTTGCAGTATGGGCTGAAACAGGAGAATTTCGTGAAAGCAATCACAACACAATGGCAGCGGTAACAAACATGGACCATTCACAAATGAATTTTCAAACACCAACATCGAGAAATCGTCGAGATAGGAAGAATGACGGTAAGTCTGCAAAACATTTTCAATGGATTTATTTTGATCAACAAGTTACTTACTTACTTATCCAACTGAAGTGGCACACATTGAAAGAAAGAAACAAAATTTACAACCCAAAAGAGGCACTTAAAGCTGCAGATAATCATTGAAAAGAAATAATGTAAACATCTAACCGTATGTCGGCATTATAAAGAAGGCAAAAACGATAATTTAGATTAACTGTATTGCCTATAATTTACACAATTTGATTTACACGAAAATAAATGAAAACGTGACACTCGATTTGTCAAAACACGTTTCATTATCAAATGAATTCTTTGATAAATTTAGATTCGATAGCAACTTTATTTCTGTAGACTTTGGATTCTTCGATTTGATTGTTGAAAAGCGAAATTGGGCTTGATTGAGTCAAGGTGTTCAAGTGAAAGAGTTTGAGTAAATTCGATGGAATCTTAAGTGCAAGATTTTGATAAAAAAAGAGTATGATTAATTTACACTAAAAAATGCTGCAGAAGTTTCTGATTAGCAGGAAAAAAATTTAAGTTTAATGTTTAACGAACTTTTCAATTTTGAAATTTAATCGTCAGCCATTTTTAATTTTTTTCTCACTTCGAAGTTGAAAATCTGTTTTAAAAGATTAAAAAAGGTTATTTGAAACCAGAAATTTAACTTAAGTATAGGAAAAAGTGGCAGAATTAGTATTTAATATTAAAATGACTGCAAATTTGGTTCCAATATGAATTTAAATAAAACGTGCTTAAGGATTAAAACAACTTAATCCTCAAGGTTGATTCCCCTAGCCCAATATTTACAAATTTTCTAGCCATATATATAATTTTAAAGCATTTGTCTTCAACAAAATATCTATTCCTATTCCCATCTAACCGAAAATGAAAAATTTTCAACAGACAGACTGAAAACTTTAAAAATTATCTAGAAAAAAATAATTTTTTAGCTTTTACATCGCAATGGGAAAAACATATCTAAGGCAGGCCTACATACTAATCCTACATAATCATGCCTCAGTTGAATTATGATTTATTAAGGTTATTGAACCACTGTAGTGATGCTGCAGTGATAGCAAAGAAAAGAATTAATTAGAATGAAAATTTTCATAAAAAAAGCAATAAAAATATTATTTTTTTTTGCAATAACGGCAATAACAATATTTATCAAAAGTATCAACTCTCTCTTTTTATTTTTTTTCCATCTAAAAGGCCTATATCCATTTATTTACTAAAGAAAAATTGTATCAAAGCTCTTGAAATGAAAACATAAAATATACGGAAGGCAGCAAAAAAGCGAAATTGTCACGTTTTAAGTGTTTCAAGAATTATCATCGAAAACGGCTCTCACTCACACTTTCATATAGATTCATAAAACAAAGAAGGAATATAGAAATAAAAAACACAAAGTGACGTTGTTCGAATGCGATACTGCATGATGGATTACCTCTGACTCTATGACGACTCCATCGAAATGATTATTTGTTGAATGATTGATAATGAAAATATAAAAAATCGACTATAAAAATGAAATTAATTAAGTGTTGAATCACTTTTTAACATCATAAGGTATAAAAAAGTACACAAATTAATTTTGTTTGATTAGATTGTGCTTTCAAAAAAAAGTCATTAATTGTAATAAGGAGAAGGTGAGAATTGATACGTTTTTGAAGGCATAGAAAACAATATCAATCAATTAAAAGCAATTATTATAATTCATTATTGATAAAAGATTACTTTGGTGTTGATTAATCGGGGTTTTATAAGGCAAAGTAATTTGCAAATCATGACGGTGATTGCTTAATTTTATCACTTAGCGTTTCAATTAGAATTATTGGAGTTACTCCTTTGTTTTCGGATTGAATTGTTGCGGTTAATGTTGGATTTTTTAAAAAATTGATTGATTATCCTGTCGGTAGGCTTTGCAAAATTCAGATCTTATGAAAATCATACCAAATTCATTGAAGGACATGTTAATCCATTGCCAAAAAAGTAAAAGCATCTCAAAAGAATTTAGCACCTCTTAAAATCCAAAGATTCAGTCAATTAAAACAATTCAAAGTGCCCAGAAATGTGCGATTCTCATCACAGTCACACTTATGCATCATTGCATTCTGAAGTGGATATATAATCCACTCTCAAGTGTCTTCACTTAAACCTATTCATGTCTATTAAGTGCCTCTTCAAATATGAATTTTATTTTTCTCATTCTCTTCATGATTTACTCATAATTTCTATTTTTACGATTCCAGCATCAAGATTGACTGAGACGACAGTAAAGCAGGAAAATACGGATGATGCAATCGCATCGGATGATCCAAAAAACGATAAGAAGAATAAAAGACAACGTCGTCAAAGAACGCATTTCACGTCGCAACAATTACACGAATTGGAGCAAACATTTAGCCGTAATCGATATCCTGATATGAGTACACGAGAGGAAATAGCTATGTGGACTAATTTAACTGAAGCTCGTGTTAGGGTGAGTTTAAAGCTTGATCACATTATTCAAATTGAAATGAAAATTTATTCAAATTGGAATTTTTTTTTAAAAAAAAAGGAAAACTCTAAATTTTGTGTCTATTATGAAATTAAAATGTAAAGCGAGTTGAGCTGAGGGTAGTTGATGATGATGATGGTAATCAAACTTAAAATGATTGCTGCATTTATTAAGTCATTTAGTGTAAGGGGGATTTCTGCATTGATAGATTGTGATGAGTTTAACTCGGCATGGATCTTCCTCCCTCGGTTGTTTCATCAACCAAAAAATCATTTCCCAATAAAATTAAAAGAAAAAAAAGAAAAATCGAGCGAGGAGAGAAAAACTTTAATCGAATTGAGTGAGTTGAAAATGGTGAGGGTCAGAAAAACAATAAAAATCGGATTAAGCTTTAAATAAATGCTATTTTTTGTGTTTGTCTGCGAGATTTGAGATTTATTTGTTGTTTTAAAATATTATATAGTTAATGATTCAATTACTGAATGAAATGAAATTTTATTGAATAAATAAAATACATAAGGAAATAATTTTAAAGTGATTGATTCTGAATGATTTGAGATGGCTTAAAAAAGAGTAATTTTTGTGAATGGGATTGGATTGTGGGACGAATTGAATGCTTTTGTAATGGATTGTAAAATTTTCTTCGTATTTTAAAATTTATAACTGATTATTTTCAAATTGATTGAACTTTAAAAAGTGCGGGAATTTGTTTTTGTTTACATTCTCCATATGAAATGTTTGCAACTTAGTTTTGACATCAGTAGATGCTCTAATATGAAACAAATTGCTGATAATGGTTTAATAAAAGTGAGTAAAAAGATTGATGCGTCAATTTCGAAGCGAATCAATCAAAAGCCTAAAATAGTTCATTTTAATTTTGATAATTTGCCATATTTTGTAAACAACGTTACGAAAGGATGGGATTTTTTTGGAGATTTGAATATTATATGTAACGGTCAAATTTGTCTGATTAAGCAAGATTTTGTAAGGAAATTCAATTATCTACTAAATTGATGTCATTTCCAAACTACATTTCAACTTAAGTTGTGAAATACTGAGTAATTCAGAATTTCCGTTCGCAAACTTTATTTCCCAAAAAATAAGGTTCATTAAATGTCTCCGAGGAAATAATTTATTTTACATTAGCAATATAGATAAGTTTTATTTATATCCATTTATGGATATAATTACTATCTGTTAGTCTGAATAACAAAATAATATACAAAAATTCAATCCAGTGACTGTGTGAAAATTTATAAAGAAGTAAAAAAAGATATATACATGAAGTTCATATCCCTATAAACAACTGATAATAGGCGACACAACATGCAGTTAATGCAAACACGTAATTAGATAATTTATGACGAACAAAGTAAATATTTTTTTTTGTGTACTTCATTTCATATTTTACACGACAAAATAAAAAGAAGGTAAATTATGATAAATATGAGCAAACAATAATTTGATAGAAAACTGAAAAATCGATTGGAAATACAGAAGTTAATTTGATAAGTTAGGCGCCAACAATTTTTTTTATTCAGATTGATGAGTTTGACGTAATACCTAATGTGATATTCTGTTTATCTATGCTTATGTCTAATGTTCATAGACTCTTCAAATGACATACTCGAAATCGAACTTCGTTATTTATGTGCTTATCAAATTGTTTAATGAGATTTGAAGTGCCTGAGTGGCGGAGAGGTAGTCAGATGGTTTTTGGAGATGTTTTGAGTGCCGGGAGTTGGTTATATTGGCCAGGGAACTTCGAAAATGGAGTTAAAGGTTAATGCAATATCGTCAGACTGCAAAAGGATACCTTTGACTTGAAGTTACTTATTTATTCAACTTATCTGAGTCAAGAAGAGTTGCTTTATTGAATATACTCTTGTCTATACTCCAGTTGTCGATAAAATCTAGTTCATACCCATAAAAACTAGTTCTAATTCTTAAAAACAAACCTTAAAACTCCAAAATTTTCCATTCATAACATCATATGGTAGACTTTATCATCCACCCACCTTTAATATTTTATTATCCAGCCATCAATTTCAACCGCCCATGACATTTCACAGGAAAAATGTATTAGGACGTCACCGTTGTCAATTCACATTATGAATTAAAATCATTTTAACGATATTTAGTCATTTGAATTTTAACGGAATTTTAAATATTTGAATTGGATTGATCTACTTAAGGTAGAACAAAATTTTACTGAACTCGCTCTCTTTAAAAATAAAAAATCAAGCAAGAAGGAAGGAAGACAAAAAAGGAAATTAATTAAAAAGGGAAAAAGAGATTAAAGTGAAAATATAAAATTAAAATAAAACAAAAAACACGAAGTGAAATAAAAATTAAAAAATTAAAATTGTGAATCAAAAAATAAAATAAAAGGTTAAATAATCACTTAAATCTCAAATTAAAATTAATATTTTAATTTTCTTGTCGTAATCGACAATCTTTAATCTCTTTATTTAAAAAGAGAAAAGCAAAAAAATATATTAAGAAAAGTGAAAGAAAAAATTTTAACCTGAAATTTTGTGAGACGGATCTGAAGAGACACCAGAAGGAAATTAATAAAATTAAGAAGAATGATGAACTGATTCGTCTAATGAAGGAGACAAATAAGTATAAAGCTTCAATTTTAATAAATTCATCATTTGGTGAGTGATGCAAAACATCCAGTAAAATAAATTGATCATTAAGATCACGTTTGTCATGTGTCTACATAATTTATTTAATCATTTAAAGCGATTTGCTTAAAGACGGATGCATAAACATCTAATTATTTAATTGAAACCAATAATTAATTTAGATTCACAAATCCAAAATAACTTACTTTTTACAGTTACTTGAAAGATCCAGTGGATCAAATTTGACATTTCCATTATTATTTATTCAATCGTTTGAAGTGATTTATCACTGATAGAAGTGACCTTTAAAGATTTATTAAATCAAAGGAAGAAATAATTTAAAAATCTTAAATTGTTAAGCAACACCAACATCCAGTAAAGATCTAGTTGATAGACTTTGTCATGCACATAATTTGTTAATCGTTTGAAGCGATTTCATAAAAGGAATCAAAATATATAAAGAACAAATTCATCGAGGCAGGAAGTGAAGCGCGTTATTCCTTAACTTTCATGTATTTGGAGAGGTACAATCAGCAGACTAGTTATCAGACAAGTCAAAATCATCAACAGATAACAGCAACTGCAATGTCAATACCTCCATTTCCTCGATTTCAATCATATAACGCTCCTGTAACACCATCCAACAGTATCAATGCTTTAGGAAGCGGTTATATGGATTTGAGAAGTCAGTTGGACGAGAGTCGATTAGCAATGCAGCGCAACAATATAGTTAGAGGACTAGCTAATCAAAGCATGATCATTCCTGGAAGTGCTATTGCTGAGTATTTTAATATAAAAATTTCATTTGTTCCCAATTCAGGCAATATGTAATTTGGTTTCCTTTCCTTCTCGAGTGTCAATTCACATTATGAATTAAAATCATTTTAACGATATTTAGTCATTTGAATTTTAACGGAATTTTAAATATTTGAATTGGATTGATCTACTTAAGGTAGAACAAAATTTTACTGAACTCGCTCTCTTTAAAAATAAAAAATCAAGCAAGAAGGAAGGAAGACAAAAAAGGAAATTAATTAAAAAGGGAAAAAGAGTAAGAAATCAACAAAAAATTATATTGTAATAAAACTAACATGGTACATTTTACAGGATTAAAGTGAAAATATAAAATTAAAATAAAACAAAAAACACGAAGTGAAATAAAAATTAAAAAATTAAAATTGTGAATCAAAAAATAAAATAAAAGGTTAAATAATCACTTAAATCTCAAATTAAAATTAATATTTTAATTAATTTTCTTGTCGTAATCGACAACCGTCATTTCAATTCATTCCGAGTATGAGTATGAGATATAAGAAAATTATTGATTTCTCAATCTACAGTACTAAAATTGACCAGATGTATTCAGAAGTTGTTCTATCTGTATCATCAAAAAAAATTTATACCTAAGGAGATCCCAAAATAATGCTTATAATCACGATGGATTAGTTGACTCAGACGCTGTCTCTCGAAACTTTTTTTTCCTTTTTTTCTGTACTGTCTCACTTCCTCTCTTTTCCTTGATCACTTTCTCTCCGTTCGTAATTCACAATTTCTTTTTTTTTTTCGTTTATTTGTCATTTTGGCGCTTTGCTATTATTTTATAATTATTTTCCCCACTTGAATGGAGTCTAGGTTTGACGGCAGAAAATGTTAAAATAAGAGAACAAGCAGCAGCAAAAAAATATCGATTACAAATATACAGACGTATTTTAATTGGCACAGCTGATCCATTATGGATGTATCTTTTCATGATTGGGTTCCGTATTTATTTTAATGTAATCGTATTTATTGTCTCAATGTCAGCTGACTGACTGCTTTGAGACGAGATGTAAAAATAATTTTTTTTTTATATCACTCGTTGTTTATCTATTTGAAGTTTGATAACGGAAAGAGTTCTAATAGATGTATATCTATTTTATATTCTTGGCATCACAAGGGCAAATTTTATGTAGTTGGAAGATCTCGGAGCTTAAGTTGTATATAAATTTTATTTGTATGTGCATTAGTTGCCATTACAATTTATTGTGCTTACTTTTATAGTCTAGCTTGTCTTTTTTTCATGCTGCACAAAAAAAAGTATTGCTAGTCACTTTAATAAACTCATGTGGAAGCTACTGCTCTGGCTCCCAATGCTGAATAGAGACATAAAAAAAAAGTTCTCGATTTGTCCAAAACAGTAAAAATGGAGATAAGAAATGGAAGTTTGCGCAGTTGTAAATTTGGGAGGTGAAAATGTTATTTTTTTTTTGCCGACGGAATTGAAATTTATGTGAAAAAGTTTTTTGTTTAATTTTGGCAGATAAATTGCTTGGTTTGGAATTGCTTTGGTTGACGTTTCTGACTTTATTTTCTTAGAATTTTTACTATTTTTCACAAAATTTAACAAATTTTGGATGTTTAGAAATGTTCATTGAAGACGTGCCTTCTTGATTTATTAGAGTAGTGGCAATTTAAGCCTACAAGTCACTTAATTATAGTTTGTTTTGAATATTGTAATTTTAAAATACTTAGTGAAGTTTGATAAAAAAAAATTATTGAACGAAACAAAATGTTCAAATTTATAAAAACCATTAAATTTTTAAAATTCCTTATTTATCAATTTTAACAAACTTAGTAAAATGAATATAATATTTCAACATCGCAGTAAAATGCTACATCCATTTCAAATGATAGAATTCATCATTATTCGAGAAATATTCCATACTTCATCAAATTTTCCTCTTCATTCTTTCTTTAACATTCAAAAAAGTTCTAATGATTCTTTCTTAATTTCTTCGCCACACGCTCGATGTTCTTGATGAATAAAATTCCATATTTATGTACATTGAAAATGTTATCAAGCAAAACTGTACATAAATCAAACGATAGATACATCAACTTTATGCATACGAATAGAAACAGCAGAAAAAAAACAATATTTTGGAAAATTACTTTTCTATTCAGGCTTTGTGAAATATAATTGCTTTTTGTATGTGATCAAAATCCTTAATTTAGTAATGAAACATGATTTGATTTTTCAAGCATTATTCGTAATATAAGATGAGTGAATGTGTTTCCCTCTTTCAACATTTTTTCCACATAAATATTGCATCTCTCTTGTTTGTTGGCATGAACAAAATTTTTAATTGAAGTTTTTTTTTTGAATTTCAATGAGATGAAAGGAAAGAAGATAGAAAAATTTTCCCTTGGTGGAGCTTCATTTTAAATTTTAAATTAGTTTGGAAGTTTTTAGACTTGTTTTTAAGTTTTTCGTATAATTTTTTTTTGTTCATAAAGTTTCGCCATAAATCTTTTTGTGAATATCAATAAATTAAATTTTTATTCATGAGTTTTAGAACTGTTTTTTGAACTTTTTGTGGTTTCTACTTTCATGTTACAATTTTCACCCTATTTAAGTTTTTGTCTTTAAAATTCGAAGAAAATCCGCCATTTTGTATGAATTTGACTTTAGGATTCAAGTTTTGCTATGTTTTTTGACACATTTGCTTTAACTTAGTATCTTAATACCTGAAAATGGATTCAAAAATCCCAAAAAAATTTTTGAAGTGAGGAAATTTCGCGATTTTTTTTATTTGAAATTTTCAAATCCGTTAATTATCTAAATAGACTCCATAGAACTCTGAAATATTATTTATAACAAAAATAACATCAATTTTGACCTCCAAACAGAACATTCTACTCTTGAAGATAATACAGAGCTCTGTTCATCTTCATTATAGCTTTACTCGACTCAAATTTCATACGAAATTACATTTTTCTCTTCATGTCAAAACAGAATAAAATTGCGATTCATAAAAAAAGAGAATAAAAACAAGAACAGAATGAAATGAAAAAAAAAATTCAATGTAATTTAATGAAATGAAAATTTTAGTAGCGAATAATCCAAACATTACACACTTGTATCTTTAAATCAACATATCACATATTCGAAAAGCTATTGTTGAAATATATACACACGCTTATAGCGTACAATACGAAATTTTCTGCCTGCCAATAAAAAAGCCGAAAATAATACTAAATTTATTGGCTTCTAGATATTGTGTATATGTAGGTATACACGTTGACTTTTTTTTTCTCCTACTAGTATTCGCTGTGATATACAAACTTTAGGTATTGTGCAGTCAGCCACACACGAAATATCATCATCTCAATAAGCCTATGAAATAAATATTTTTATGCGAAATTTATGGTGCAGCAAGCTTTTTGCCTCTATTTTTACTATTGAAAAATAAAAAGAAGCCAGAAAGCTATGCAGAGGGAGAGATAAAAAATGGCAGAGAAATATTCGAAAAATCACAAATAGAGAAAAAAAAACGTAAATTTATCCCCGAAGAGGAAAATTGGAAACGTTGTTTAAATTCTTTATGACTTTTCATCTCCTCTAATGCGAGCAATATTAAAGTCATGCATTGAAAACATTCTTTTATGACTTTCAAAATAGAATTTTTTATCAGAAAAAAGTATTGGTATGTTGGCTCTTTGCTGGATTTGTTGCTTGAATCTTCAGGGCATTACCGTTGTATTTAGTTTAGTGGTGAAATCGAGGCATTTATGTCTGTTTGAATGATTTTTATGCTGACCTTAAAGATTTTGTTGATAGGAATTAAGAACTGATGGCAATAGGATTTGAATGTGGATTTCTATGGACTTCACGGCTTCATGTTCAGTAACTGAATATTATTATTTTAAAGCTTTACAAATTTTAACTTTATTTACAAATTAGTTTTGTAAATTTTGACTTTATTCTGGAACTTTTAGGCTGTAATTCTCATAAAAACTTGTTTGCTCACTCAATTTGATTCTTATTCAGCAATAACAATGATGTAAAATTGTATAATGAAGTTAAATTTTGTCACAACATTTCCGAGGTGGGATTTTTTTTGTTGCAAAATTTAAAATTCGATTTTCCAGTTTGCTGAACAATAAATCAGGATTTATATAACTTAAACTAAGTGTGCAGCACTTGAAATTAATCATTTAGTCGGCTATTTTGGTGTTTTGAACTTCATATCTACAAATAACACCTGCAAATCCTTAAATCTTACTTTTAAATTATGTCAGCTCAGTTGTCGTAAAAACTCCAATTTTCTGAGAAATCCATCATTATTATCATCCATCAAAATAACTCTATTTACATTTTAATATCAACACACTTAACCTGGGAATTCCCAAAATTACAATCTTAATCCAATTGATAACATAAACTTCTTTTGTATCAAATTTCTCATTTAAAATTGTTTTTGTTTCTTCTTTAATGATAGGTTTGGTTTAAAAATCGACGCGCAAAATGGCGTAAACGTGAGAGAAATCAAATGAATGCATTAGCAACAGCAGCTGATTTTAAAAATGGATTTGGAACGCAATTTGTGCAACCATTCCCAGATACTGATGCTTTATATTCATCATATTCACATTACAATAATTGGGCAGCGAAAGTGCCATCTCCATTAGGTAAATAATGATGATTAAATTATATATTCAAATGATTTATAATGTCATTTTTAAATTAGGTACAAAAACATTTCCATGGCCAGTGAATCCATTGAGCTCGGTAGTTTCAACAAATCATCATCAAAATTCAATAAACTGCTTCAATACGACATCATCGTCAGTGGCTAGTATGAGCTCATCAATGTTGCCAACAATGGGATCAGGATTGGGTGGTTCTGGATCATCAGGAGGTGGCCCATGTCCCTATACGACACCGACAAATCCATATTCAATGTATCATCATCGTACAACAGCTGAACCGGGTAATGCAATGAGTTCAAGTATCGCAACATTACGTCTAAAGGCAAAGCAACATTCTTCAGGTTTCTCAAGTCCATACTCGACCCAGTCATCATCAATATCGCCAGTCTCGCGATCGTCAAATTCAGGTGGATTAGCAGCATGTCAATACGCGAGCGTATCCGATTCAACAGTTTGAGATAACGCCTTAGTGGGAACGTTGTTTCAAGCGACGTCCTCACTAAATCATCTGTTGAATAGCGAACACGATTTGAATTTTGATCAACGTGATGATGTGAAGCCTCTTATTCATCATCATGGCTCAAACGGAACGCCTTCAACAGGCAATGTCCCCTCAACTGATGACGATGACGATTGCACCTCTCGAAATGATGGCCGTGCATTGATTAATAATGATATTACTGAGTAATTATAAATATTTATTATAAATACTTCTATTTAAAAAAATTTTTAACAAGGATTCTTCGAGATGAAAAATTAACAAAAAAAAAAAATACTTTGAATAACTTTTTCTTTAAAAATCAACAGAAATCCATGGATTTTCATATTCTAAATGCTACTTTTTTCATCAATCGCTATCGAATCCAATAATCAACGCTTGCATTCATTGGAACTATTTGTGTTAATTTGTTTATTTTTGAAATGGGACAACATGCAATTTAACGGTTATTTTAAGTTTGAATTTTACGAGATGAAAATTCAAAAATTATTTGACAGTTGAAAAATTTATATATTGATCAAAGTTCAACAAACGTGAGTCAGACTATTTACTATGGTCTATAATAAAAAAATTATCGCAACCATTTGGTTATCTTTAAGTCATGGCTTCAAATATTATCAATGCAACCAATACAACCTTCTCATTTCTTCCCATTTCTATCCAATGAGAAATCGAAAAGTCACCAAAAAAAAAGTTCGTATTTCAATATATTTTTGTTTCTGTCATAAAAATAAGCATTTTGATAAAAACAAATCAATTTTTATGTCTTATCTTAAGTCCCCGATTAAAACTCTTTCATTTCTGATGTTGCCGACGTAATGAAAAAAATAAAATAAAAATAATGAGAAAAAAAATGATTAAAAAAATGAATAAAAAAATTTTGTTGTAAGAAATATGTGTAAATAAAACTATATGAAATAAAATAATAATAATAATAATGATAACGATAATGATGATGAGGAGGCAAAACACATTAATAAGATAAAGAAAAAGAATGTTAAGGTGTCATGATTGAATCAATAAAGACAAATAATAATTTTAAGGTCAAAAAAGTAAAAAAAATTATGATAATGATTAAATGATGGAAGTTGGAGTGGAAAGTTTAAAGATTTTAGCAGAACTCTCTTATTCTTAGACAAATACAGAGTTTTTAGCGAATTATTCTAATTTAAAAAATTCAAAATGGCTGATTTTTTTGTTTAAAATAACATTTTTTGTGTGTTTTAAGTCTTTTAACATTAAAAACTATTTAAAATCATGTTTGCTCCGATCGAAAGTTGCTTAATATGCTTTTAATATCCATGTTAATGTTAAAAATAGAGCTAAAAATGTAATTCAATATTCGATGTGAGAAATCCATTGAAAAATTAGATTATCAATTCAATGTCAATGATGTCGAGCTTAAATTTGAATTTTCAAGCAGTAAAAATATATTTTCATTTGCAAACGTGATAATCTCCTGTTTTATTGTACAACTTTGCCAATTGCAAAACGCTAGAACAAGACCCTTTAAAATTTAAACAAAAATCAGGTCATTTAGGGAAGTTTATCAGCTTTTCACTAACAAATGGAGCCAAAACAAACAAAATGCTCATCTAGATGAACTGCATAAATCTTAAAAAGATGGAATAAAGAAGAAAATAATTTTTTCATGCAATAATTCATGAGTATCTTAGAGAAAGCGAGAAAGAAAGAAAAGAAACAGAGAGAAAAATCTATGTATATCAAAATAATCTCAAGCTCTATATGAATTATAAGATACTCCATTATATAATTTAAAGTACAATAATACGCATGTACAGAAAGACGGGAAGAAGAATGAGAAAAAAGGGAGAGCGAGAAAAGAAGGAAAAAATATTGAACGAGATACACAAAAATGTCCTACATTATTTTTCCCTCGAATGGAAAATTTCTGCTTCATTTTCTTTGAAATTATTTCATTGTTAATTTCCATCATTCAATCAAAGTTTAGATTAGATAATAATAATAATTATAATTTTTAATAATGATAATATAAAATAAGTTATGACATTGAAGCGAAATTAAATTTAAATTATAAAAAACAAAGAATAAATAAATTAATGAAGAAGGAATAAAAAATTGATGAAATTTTATAAGTATCTATTTAAAAATTGTAGACTATAAAGTGCGCTAATGTGCAATTTAAGATTTCTTTGTGAGGGTTTTAGGAGAGTTTAGAGAAGTTTTTGAAGAGAATTTTTAAGATTTTTTCAATAATTTGAACTTAAATGATTTGAAATATTAATTTTGTAGGAGAATCTGAGACTATAGGGTTTCTATAAAGCTATAATGATGATTTAAGTATGACTGACTCTCACATTTTTAACAACATATTAAATTAGAGTCAAAACTTTTTGAAATCAAACTAAAAATCGCAAATTTATTTAAAACTTTAATTTAAAAAAAATCAAAAAAAAATATTTTCAAAAAAGTTAAAAATTAAAATTCAAATTACTCATAAACTCCTCAAAATCTCCAAAACCCCATCCAAAAAAATCTTCTTTAATTTCCCTTTTTCCCCCCTTTAAAAAACACACAAAAAAACTTCTTTCTTTGTTTTCATATCTTCTATTCTATTTTTGAAACTAAATACACACAAAACGTGAATAAATATAATTAATTATGTAAAATTATTCAAAATGGAAAAATCATATTTAATTTTTAAAAGAAGACAAAAAAAAAATTATGAATGAAAAAAAAAAGATAATTTTTAAATGAAAAGAAAAATGAAACAATTTTGTCTAGTCGAATGAAAATAAAAATAGATAAAAAAATAACTCTTTAAGATTCTTTTTATTCAACTCGTCCTTGTTCTTAGATATGTGTTACATATGAGGACAGATGTCATATGTGCTTGGGATTCTCTTAAGATTATTTTGTGAGATTTTTGTTCATTTTTGCAAAACATTAGATCAGTTTTATTGTTTTTACAGAAATCTCAGACCTGAAGCTATCATGATCTCATCATGATCAAAAATTTCTGTTCCTTAACTTCCCTTCTAGAAAACAATCCAAACTCCCCACAAGGATATGTCACACATAGGCACAACATCCTCCTCTTCTTTATTGATTTTATGTTAATAAAGAAAAATATTTTTTTTTCAGTTTTTTCCTTTCCTTTTTACATTCAAAATATTCAAAGCTCATTCATCACACTGGCATAGGAAGAAGGAGGATGAGGAAAAATGTAAAAAAAGAAGCCTGCTGTTATAAACTCTATGTAGCACCACATAATGACACTATTATTGCCATTGCTACTACATCATCTATTGAGATAGACTCCTCCGGACTCTTTTTCTTCTTTTCTTTCTGTTTTTAGCTGGATTTTTCGAAGCAATAAGGAGATTGTTGCTGCTGTTTTGTCTTAGTTTGTGCTTTTTTGGCTTGAAAGGTTCTAAGAACTGTTAATAATTTTATTATTAAAAGAAAAATAGAGTTTGTCTTTTAAGAAGAGGAATTTTTGATGAATATTATCATCTCGGTATTAGAAAGTTTGTGCTTTTCATCCTCTTGGTATATAATACGTGAGTTTATGTGAGTTTCATCATCTCGGCAATAATTATGAGACAACTTCTATCCTCTCGGTTCCCATTTAAATTTGAATTCCATCCTCTCAGTAGCTTTAATTTAATATTTTGTATTCTGACAATGATTTTATCATCTCAGACATAATACGCCGAAATTTCAATTCATCATCTCAGAAAATCGTTGACCTGAAAAAACTTAGTCATCTCATAAAGTTTATTCACCATGTTAAGTTTATATAAGTCTAGTTTGAGCAATTAAATACCTTAAAGTGTTAGTAACTATAGCTTCTTGTGTCACTTTAACCATAGAATTTAAAAATTATGAACTAGGTTTATATAAAATTTAACTGTTGAAAAGAAAGTTGCCCCTAATTCATAATCAGATTTAAACCTGGAAATGCGCTTTTAACAAAAATATCTCTAAATTACTGAAGCACATGATCGATATCACTGCTTTCCAAAAAGAAAAAGATAACACATAAATTTCCACAACAATGTAACTTCATAACTTTATACAAATGTAGAAAATATTTGGGTAAGAAATAAAATTTATTTCACTTTTGGGGGATCCAAAAAAATAAACTTTTTTTTTCTCCTTCAATGAGAAATGAACATAAAAATATGATTTTATTTCCAATCGATTTGGTTATGTTGAAGAATATTTCCATATTTTCATGATGCTACTCCATAAAAAATAAGTGAGTAAGTAGTTTTTCCGGACATAAATTTCACACTTATAGAATATTCATATCACAAAAAGATGTGAAATAAAATGAAATTCAACGAGGCTGTAAAGTTTCATTATTTATAAGCAACTTCTCGTTTGCTTCATCTTTATGAGCACCCGCATAATTTTTTGAGGATGGGAATAAAGAAAAAAATTGTTGTAAGTCAAAAAGATGGAAATTTGCGTGAAAAATTAAAACAATAATAATTTATGATTTTAAAAACCTTTATAATACCCAGTAGGATTAATTTACACAAGCAAAATTGTTCTTTTGCTCATTTTTATGCTAACTTTTTGCTCCTTCTTTCTCCCTCATTCCACCTTCTTCTTTGATTTTACACAATTTTCTTATTTTTCTCATTTTGTATTTTCTTCCTTTTAATGTTCAATATTAGAAATAAACGCTAACATTTCAACCCTTCCATTATTATTACATTTTATTCTATAATGTCGAAAAATGAAAATGTAATGAAACATAAAAATGAGAATAAGAATAGCAACAATCGATAAAAGAATAATTTTATGAACTTTTTTTGCTCTTGATGTTTTTTTTTGGGGTAAAATCTAGGGATTGACTTTTTGTTTCATATTTTCTTGCAAATTCTAAAACCACACTAGTTTAGACGACCTCATGTACATATTTGGCGATGAAGCTAGCCACAAGCTCAAGATGTTGTAAGGATATCCTCCAGTTGCTAGTTTGTTCTATCAAAGACATTAAAACTACAATTAGCACAAAAACCGAGCTTCATATCCACAGCAAAAGCTTGTAAAACTTAGCTTTTCCTAGTAATTGAACCTAGGAAGTTTGCACATAAGTCTAACGCTTTACTATTTAGGCTACTGATGCTATTATACTTCAAAATACGAACCAACTAAACTCAAGACACAAGTTTATTAATTTGATT